GAATGTTTCGGTGTTAGAAGGGTTACATATTGTAACCATTTGTATGTAGACATGTGTGTGCATATGTTTATATGTGTATGTCTGGATTGCGTTAGTTCCAGAAAAGCTGGTGTTGCTTATACCTGCTGTAGTGATAGTGTTGGTAAACGAGTTGCCTCCAGGGTATCAGTGAGTGTAACTGGTCAGCTAACGTAAATAAGCGATTGTCCGGTTTATTTGCGTGTATAGTTCAAAGTATAATATCATTGATTGGTGTGCTTCTTTGTGTCTGAATGTGTGCTGGAAATGTGCGTGTCGATGTAAATTGATTGGCGTTGTGTTACGATGTGTTGTTCTAGTGTGTTATGTACGTGTTCCGTTATTTGAGAAGTAGGTGTCAACATTCATATTTGTCCCAGTTGTTATGGTGTGTTATTATATGTGTATCGTGTTGATGAAATCGATGATCCATGTGTCAAGAGCATAGCTAACATATCGATTCGCTTTTTATAGAGATTAATGTTTCAAATCGAATAATTCCCAATGTCTGCTTAGACCGAGTGTAAGTTAACAATTGTTTGTATCACACGTTTTCATGGTGGCGTTATTTGGTTTCAGTTTACGTGTTGATTTCCAGCTCGGGGCATCGAGAATGTTATTCAATGTATGTGTTGTAAGCTTTCTTGTTCTTCACATATTTTGTTCGGTCGCCCACGTCCGACATTGTTAAAATCGTGTTAGTTGTTGTTGTTGCGCTTGGATCGTTTTGCCGTGGTCGTCCGTTTAGATATGGTTGCGGTCCAAACATGTTCAATCGATGTCACATGAGCTTTTTGACGTACATTCCGACCCGACGCATTCAAACGGGACATTATTCGCATTCTTGAAGGCTTTGCTTCGTGGCGGGCTCGACGGGATGCAGATTTATTTCCCTTGGTCTCAGTTGCGGCCTGTAGCGCCTTCGAGGAAGTTTCGTTCGAATTTGTAGCAGCGCTGTTGCGGAGCGTCATTCGTTTTTTTGCTTCAGCAGCAGTTTTTGTTACGGTTCAAACATCGCTGATCGAGTTTATTCTGAGTTTTGAGCTTGGTTCCGGTGTGCGACGCCCTCGACGAATTGTAATTCGAGTGTCGCCGATCTCGGAGGCGGCCCATGGCGCTCACAGATGGTCACCACCCACCAAACCACCCCAACCCAACCCGCAGGCCTCAACTTGCCCTCCATTTCCAGTGGGGGGGGGGGTCGTGGGAACACTGGAAAAATACTCATGGAACCCGCACCCCCCCCCCACCCGAAATTGTGGTCTTCGGGTTGGGTTGGGGTGGTCTTGTATATAGGTAGTCAGATGGGATGTCGCTCGAACTCGCCGGGCTTCCGCCGTGGCTCGTGGCGCGCGGAACGGGACACCGGATGGACCTCTTGCCTGGCCTCGGCCGCGGCCCCCGTGGCATCCTCGGGGGAGGCTGGCTCGAATCTGTTGGACGCGAGGCGCGCAGTTGAAATACGTCGTTTGGACCTAGCCTTCAGTCGGGCCTGTCCCTCTACAGGGGGAATAATATTCCAAAATAGTCAGAAAGTAGTCTGGGGACTATTGTTTCACCATTTTTTGACTATTTTGGAATATTTTGGGGGTATTTTTTGTTTTTTGCCAAACATCCCCCTGTAGGGGGACAGGCCCGACCTAAATCTAGCCTCGGTGACTGGCTGCAGTCCGAACGCCTTGAATAGAGCTGGTTCCTTGTTTTTTTCGTTGGCAGCCCGCGACGCCCTGAACGAGCCCTGACTCGAGCTTTCGCGGTCTCGGCTGCGGCCCACGGGTCCTGAAATTGGGATGCGCTGAACGGGATGCAAGTGGACCTCCCCTGACCTCTCTCGCGGCCCGTGGTGCCTTTGGGAGTCTGGTGCGAATTGCTTGATGGAGTTTCGCAGTTGCGGAGTGTGTTTCGAGTTTCCCTTATCTTTGTGGGGGACCACACCGCGTGAATTAGTGTAAAGTTTGAGATCGAGCTAAAGTCGCATTGAGTGAAGGCATATTTTATAATTCATAGTTGCGTATATCATAACCAATAGACACACGCAAAAGGACGCTTGAAGCAAAGTGCTAAGAACCATGTGTATGCGCACACCTTGAAATTGAGGCCGGAGGTAGACGAAAGCGAACCTGGATTCCCATAACGCATGCGTTGTTACATTTGAATGAATTACCTCTGCATCGCAACGATGCGTGCATATGTGCAGGCAAAAGTTTGTTCGTTCAGGTTTCGAGGGTTTCAACTTTTTGGTTTGTTCACTTGTTCGATTTGCTTGTCAAATATACCGTTACGTCAGTCCGTCGAGTGTCGGCCATTGTCAAAATTCGTTGGGGGCGGTATCCGGTTTAACCGAGATGTCGCTGTTATTTTCAAAGGGTGGTTATGTTTGAAGGTTAAGCTAACGTTGTAATTATTTGTTCCTGTGGAATCAGTTGCACAAGAGTGTGCCAGGGTTGATATGATCTCCACACATCTTTATACTTCCATTTGATGTTTTGCGATCCGTAGTTGTGCGTTGATTCGGCTCGCTGCCGTGCCCTTGCTCCCACACGCTCTCCTTCACCCCCTCCGTATTTCCTCCAGTCCCTTCCCCCTCCTCCTCCTCCTCCTCCTCCTCCTCCTCCTCCTCCTCCTCCTCCTCCCCCTCCTCCCCCTCCTCCGCCTCCTCCCCCTCCTCCGCCTCCTCCCCCTCCTCCTCCTCCTCCTCCTCCTCCACCTCCGCCTCCTCCTCCTCCTCCTCCCATTTGGCTTCCGAGCCAGTTTTTTATTAGTTTTTGCTCGGGGGACTCTTGGGGCCCTCTTGTGGCTCTCCCCGGGCCCTCTTGGACTGTCCTGGGTCGAAGGAGGCATTTTTCGGAGTCTCCTGGCCTGGAGGCGAATGTGGTAATTCCTCGTGAGGTCAAGTAGTGATCCACCAAGATCTGGCCTCTGTCACATCAATGACCATTGAGATCGCTTACCATATACCCTTCTCCCGATTCCACTCCCTTGCTGACCATCTCAGTTCCCTTCCTCCCCTCCCTCTACCTCTCCACGCCCCCCTCCTGCCCCCCCCTCCGCTCCCTCCGGCCCCTTCTCCCCCCCGTCCCCGTCCCTCCCGCTCGCTCCCCTTCCCGTTCCCTCTCAACCCCGTCCCCCTCCCCCCAGTCCACCCCTTCCCCACCCCCCCTCTACAAATACTCAACATAGATAATAGGATCCTCTCTCTCTCTCTCTCCTGACTCTGTCTGGATGATATCCCACCCTCTCCGCGTTTCGTTGTTTTACCCTGGATTGGATTTCCTTATGGCGCTTTACCATCCGATTGCGATCGGTGTTTGAAGATGGTGTTCCGGCTGCAGCGCGGGTCTCATTTTCGGATCTGCGCTCTGCGCCCGTCGTTCAGATTAGTGTTTTCGCTCCAGCACGGGCCACTTTTCTGGATCCTTTTTCGATCGTTGTCGCCCCCTTCGTTCCGCTCCTCCGCCTTTCACTGGTCCTCCCGCTCCTTCCACTCCAACTGCTGCTGCTGCTGCTGCTGATGTTCGTCCTCGTCCTCCTCCTTCCTCATGATTATTGTTTTCCTTCTGCTCATCCGCCTCCTCATCGTTTAGTGTACGCAGCTCATGTGTTGTAGCATTGCGCATAACATGATGATATCCCCTTTGGAATGTCAGGTCCGCTCTGACACGCGTCGGAGGATAGATTAAACAACCAGCGCCATGGGAAGGGATGCGAGGGAGGGATGGGGTGTCGCATGTGGCGCGAGCGCACCTGGCTTGCCTCGCTCCTGTTCGCAGCTGCTCAATCTGCTTGCTGCTCTCCTCTCTCCCCTGAAGATGACCCGGGGGTGGCCCGCCCCCCTCCGCGTAGTGCTTACAGGGTCCGGCTTGAACAAGGAACACTTACTTTTCAGAAGGGGCTCGGTCGTTCCTTCGGTTTGCATGCGTTCCGCTACCTTGTTGGCGGCGAGCCCCCTCTGGTGTTCCTTCGGACCTCCTAGGTTTACTTGAGAAAAAAGGGGCTCTGTTCCTCATTTATCGTTCCTTTGGTCAGGCCGAATGCTGTACTACATGCAGGATTTCACGGGTTGCTATGTCTCTGGGGCTTGTTTCATCGGGTAGTTGCCGGTGTGTTGCAAACGGTGCTGCCGCTGCAGCCTGGGCCTCACAGTAGTTCAAGGGGCATACTGAATTCCTCTCCCCCCCGAAGACGTCAAGCGGGCATTGCCCTTTCTCCGAAAAGTCTGCTTTGATAACAGAATTGCAAACATCGATGTGTGACACGGGTTCTTCCCATCATAACGTTTTCCGTGCTTCAGACGGTGCTCCCGCTGCGGTGCGGGCCCCATGCTAAGATCGGCGAGCTGCTCCTATCGTTAAGAGCGGCACTCTCGCCCTGGCGCGGGCCACTTTGCTGGATCCGGGTCCTTCATCGCTGTCGCCCCCCCCTTCCCCCTCGTCCGCCTTCCCCTTTCCCTCCTGCTCCTCCCGCTCCTTCCGCTCCAGCTCTTGCTGTTGTTGTTCGTTATTGTTCCCTCCTTCCTCAGCCTCCTCCTGTTCCCCCTGCTCATCCGCCACCCCCGCCTCCTCCTCCAATGTACGCAGCTACCCATTTTCCGATTGCGCATGACACGATGTGGTCCTGTTTGGAGTTCCAGGTCCGCTATGACACGCGTCCTCGGCTCGAGGAAAAAACAAAACAAACAAAAAACAGCGCTGTGGGAAGAGATGGGCGGGAGGGACAGGATGTCAGATATGGCACGAGCGCGCCTGCCTTGCCCCCCGCCCCTCTGCCCCACCCCCTCCCCCATCCCAAGGAGGGCGAACCCCGAGGAGCCACAGCGACGTGCACGCGCCCGCTCGGCCGCCTGGGCGGCGCCCTGGGCCCTCCCGCCCCCCGACCTCCTCCACGAACGGGGCGCCGCCGCCAGTCACGGGCGGCCTCCCGGCGGGCAGAGCAGCTCACCCGCCCTGCCTCCCTCTGCCCCCTCCCCCCCTGCGCCCGGGCAGGACGGGCTCGGTGCCCACGAAGCTGCTCAGCCTGGCCTGGCTCGGCCGCGACGGCCTGGCGGTCGGCGGCTCCGACGGCAAGGTCGTGCAGGTCGGCCTCCGAGCGGGAGAGGCGGCGCCCGCGGGCGCCGGGGCGTAGCGCCGGCGCGCCCGCTGGAGCAGGGCGGCAGTCCGGCGCTCCCCTGCCCCGCTCCTCGCTCGGAGGCACAGGCTACGGCGGCTCTTGGGCGCCGCGCAGTGGAGGGCCGATGCGGGGAGATCACCAGCCTCGAACTTATCCCTATCTCTAAGATTGACACGCCAAAAGGCGATGACAATCTTAGGGATGCGCCCTGAAAAACTAAGGGAATCCCTAAGATTGGCATTGTGATGAGGCGATGCCCAGCTTGGGGATAGGGATATGTTCCAGGCTGGTAGGGAGAGGGCAGAAGAAAGGTGCCCTGCTCGGGCCGCAGAGGCGCCCTTCTGAGCCCGAAAGGGCCCCATGCAAGGGCCCGAATATCACGCGACGCCCGACCAGCGCTCCCCTGCCCCGCTCCCCGCCCGGAGGCACAGGCCACGGCGGCTCTTGGGCGCCGCGTAATGGGCAGGGGGGTGCTACATGGAGGGGAAGCAGAGAGGTGCCCTGCTCGGGCCCTGCAGGCGCCCTTCTGGGCCCACAAGGGGCCCCTCGGGGGCCCTATAGAAGGATGCGACGCCCGACCAGCGCTCCCTGCCCCGCTCCTCTCCTGGGAGCACAGGCCACGGCGGCTCTCCCGCCCAGCCCAGAGCCGCTCCGAGTTGGCATCGCTTCGGACGTGTGTGTCAAGCAGTGGCGAAGCGTCCTGGCTCGCCCATACGCCCACCAAAGAGTGTTCTCAGAATCTTTTGTGGTCTGCACGACATGTTCTTAGAGCATTTCTGGCTGGGATTGTCTTGTCTCAGCGCATCGGGTCTATGTTCTAAGAACATTGCTTTTGCTCTTGAGACAATTGGGGGTTCTGAGAACATGTCGTGGTAGGCCTATGGGACTGCCGGGACGGTCGGTCCTTGCTCAAGTGCCCGCTCTCTCGGCGAGGGCCATCGAGGAGCATCTTGCATCGTCGAGCACAACAGAGCCCACATCCCATGTTCGTGCAAAGTTCCCAGCCTTGCGTTCGCAGCTTGTCGGCAAAAACCCGATGGGCATGATCTTATCAAACCCGTGTGCGCGTGGAAGTCAAGTGTGGAGACACGTCCGTCCTCAAAGCAGTCGCGAAATTGCGTTGGAGATGGTGCGACCGCGACGCCAACGATGAGCGGCGGGGAAACTCATGCGGCACATTCGACGTGCGGGGGGACCCAGACGCACAATGGGAATGCAAGCGGCACCCTGGACAAAATTAGCTTGAGCGAGGCACGCGCGGGGGGAAGGCACGTCCGAGCGGCGGCACCGCAAGGGGCGACCCGCGGCGACCCGGGCGGCCCCGGGAGGCCTCCCGCAGACCAAGAGCCGTGACGGGAGGGCCGCCGTCGTCTCGGCGGGCCCTCCACCGAATCGGGCCGCGTCGGGTCGCGAGCGTCGGCATCGAGGCGGATCTCGAAGAAGAAGAGACGCCATGAACGTAAACCTCCTCCTCCCTCCTCCTCCTCCTCTTCCTCCTCCTCCTCCTCCTCCTCCGCCTCGTCCTCCTCCTCCTCCTCCTCCTCCTCCTCCTCCCTCCTCCCTCCTCCGCGCAGAGCGCCGAACGTTTAGGTCCATGGCGTCTTTTCTTCTTCTAGGATCGGGCCAGCCGAGCCGGCATCGTGGTGAAAGATCGCGGCGGAATGGTTTGCCCGCCCATGTTCGGCTTCGGGGTGCCTGGGCCCCAGGAGTCGAAGACTTCGTGACTCTGGGCGAAAAGTGGGTCCCCGTGGAAAGGGCTGAGACCTCCGGGGGCCAACGTTGTGGGAGGAGGAGGGAGGAGGGAGGAGGAGGAGGAGGAGGAGGCGGAGGAGGAGGAGGAGGAGGGAGGAGGGAGGAGGGAGGAGGGAGAGGGAGGGAAGAGGGAGGAACGAGGAGGGAGGAGGGAGGAGGGAGGAACGAGGAGGGAGGAGGGAGGAGGGAGGAGGGAGTGAGAGGAACCCTCGCCTGAGTCCCCTGCCACCTCGTGCCACACCTTCGCCAACACTGTCCACCCTGGGCTCGCCCAGCTGTCGCGCGCCAACGGGCCCGGAGCGGCTCGTTCTGAGTGCGGCAGTGGTGAGAGGCGCCCCCAAACAGCGTGGTTCGACCTTCGTTCGCGTCGGTTGCCGCTGCTGAAGCTTCGACTAGACGTAAGAGTGACCTTTCGCCGGAGTGACCTTTGGTGCGGGCCAAATGGGGCCCCCCGATCGCCGAACGCGAGGCGGCAGTGGCGTCGTGCCCGCTTATGGTTGGCCCCCCCTCGGCCCCCCAAAAGCCGCGCACCAAAGGTCACTCTTGCCCAGGGTCACCCTTGCGTGTAGCCGAAAGCTCTCAGCAATCTTCCCACCTTTCAGCTGCTCTGCCCAAAGGAGCCTCAGCACTGTCGCCTCTCTTGCTCCAGTTGTCTCTGCTCGGGCTTTCTGCTCTCTCGCCTCCGTACCACAGGTGCGATGGCGCGCACACGCGGTTAAATGTGGAAGCCCGTGCGTGCGCATATGTTGTCTATGATAACGTGTGCGTGCGGTCTCATACCTGCACAAAAAGAACCGAGATGTTTGCAAGGGTACGCGCATGCATGCGCGTAGCTTCACAATGTATGTTCTCAGCCCTGATACTGTTCCTGCTGCCGTTCCTCCTCCTCTTCTCCTCCTCCTTCTCCTCCTCCTCGCTGTCATTCATCCGCAGTGCCTCGTAATGCCCCTTCCCATGCTGGGCCAGCACTGCCGAAAAGGGAATACGGAATACGGCAGGTTTTCGGCGCCTCGTCGCGGCAAAGACGCCGGCGCCAGCGTTCAAGGTTCAACACTTTGCAGGGCCGTTTTGGGACCCGTTGAAAACAACGCACGGCCCGAAATCCATTCAAAGAATGATGTCGACCGCCTTCAGGGACGTCCGAATGCGGAGGTCGCCCAATTATGAGCGGTCAACACCGTGTGAGAAAACTGCTTCGACATAAGTATGGTGTAACTGATGATTTGTTTCGCGGGTTTAGATGATTCTGTCGGATTTCGCAATGTGCTGTGTTCACGCCGCCCCACTTAATTTACATCTTGAATGGCATTGGATTTGCGGAATTTGTAGAATAGACGCCGTGCCACGCAATTCACGCAGTCCTTTTAATGTATGAACTTGCACCGTGCCATGCGAAGTTCACGTCGGACGAAGAATTACGCACTGTGGCCTTCGAGCGCACATGGGACTTTAACAACATCCAGAGCGTACACCGTTTCATAATTACCGTACTCGCCTCTTCTTGCTCACGATTGTCTTCTCGCTGTATCGCATCTTGAACAGATTGTCCACCTTCTGCTTGGACATGTGGGCCGCTGACGTGCTAGTGGTTCTATATACTTGCGATATGTGCAGGCGCGTTCCTGTAGCGCGGTCATGTTCCCCTCTTTCTATGTTTCCCCTTCCCCACCAACACCGTGTTGCCCCGTTCCCTTTTAACCAAGGTTTTTTTGTCCCCCAGTTTTCTCTGCTTCCAGATGTCTCCCGTCTTTCGTCTCCCTTACGAGTTCCCTTCCTCTTCGCCTTAACGCCTTTTTGTCCCCGCTTTCTCCTTCTGCATCCTCCTCCGCCCTATCGTTTTCCTCCCGTCGATGCTGCTTCTCTGTGCAGTTGCAAGGTCCGCCCGTGGCGAGTTGAGCCTAACGCTAGCCAAGAGCTGCAATCCAGCGAGCAAGCCGGCAGCGGGAAGGAGAAAATGGCGGGAATAGCATGTGACAATCGGGTTTTGCCAGGACCCCAGGTAAGGGGGCCCAGTGAGTAGTAGGGCCCCAGAGCCCCTAAATCGACCAGAATCGCTAAACCAGTTCTGTCGTAGCTGGTGTTTTTTCGGGTGACGGCAGTTCCGGTTAGTGGAACGGGGCAGGGGGGGCGTCCCCCAGTATACATCACTAAACCAGGTCCCTCTAAACCCAGTTAAGCCAAGGCCCGAGACAAGAGGGGGTGCCGCAACCGCTTTGGCTCAAGCCGTGGGCGTTGGTCCGCATGGTGGCTCGCAGTTCGATGGCCGCACGGTGTGCGGACGCGGGAGGCATGCTGCCGGCCACCAACCAGGACGTGCCCTAGCCGGGCGGATGAGGCAGTTGAGCCAGCCAGCCCGGCTGGGCGAACCGCAGCTCATCACTGAACTCGTGGGTGAGTTGCCCAAGGTGGCAGGACCTGGCGACGTGAAGGAGAAGGTGACCGAAGCACACCTCGCTGTCGGCCATCTCGTCGAGCGGCACGAGGAGGCCGCACTCCTGGCCGACGCCCTCTGTCCTGATTATCCCATCGTCGGGGTCAGCAGAGGATTCGAGGCGGTCACCGGTTTTACGCGAGCGGACATGCTCGGGAAGAATTGCCGTTGCCTCCTCAACGGGGTGCCAGAGGTATCGATATCCAAGTCCGCCAGGAAGAACCTTCGCGACTTCTGCCGCATGTGCAGAATGCATGGCTTGGACTGGATCTCCGAGGTGGTCTCCGTGCAGCCAAATGCTCGCCGTGATGGTTCGCAGTTCACGAACTACTTCATGATAGGGCGTTTAACGTTGCAGCGACATCCCTACCTCTTGGGCGTGCAAATGCCTGTTGGCGAGGGCCTTTTTGTTAAGCTCAATGGCACGCACTTGGAGCAGACTGCGGAGACCACCCGGACTGCATACAAGCGCATCCGGCAGGCACTTCTCTCGAGCTTCCCCGAGGAGGTCCCGCGAATGTGTAGTACTGTTATGCCTAGGGAGTTCGGTGTCCCGAGTTTCACTTTCTTCACGGAGCGTTTGCAGGACCACTGCCTGATACTGAACAGAGGCAGAACTGCTATGCGGCGTGAACCACAGGAGTTGTCCACCAACTGTCTCGTGTTTGGCGATCAGCCAGTCAGGCACACGCAAGAAGGCCTATTTTTTGCGATGCTCGTTGACGACGTCGTGTCCACCTTCGAGGGCCTGCCGGTGGTCGGCTTCACGAAGAGAAGGCCTGTTGACGCGTCCACGCTGTATCCTACGGCGTCAAGGTGCCTCGGGGCGAGCGTTCTTGTAGGCGCTTGCGGCGAGGCATTCGCAAGGGATCAGGACTCCCACTTCAAGATAGGCTTCGGGCCACCTCCACCGACCGAGGTGCGGAGTTGGAACTTGGACCCGGATCTGAAGCCTCACAAGCGCAGGCCACCTGTGGACGTGCAGTCTGGCGACGTTCTGGGGTGTATGTATACGATTGATGGTAAGATTCAACTGTGGCACAACGGGGAAGTGGTACTCGATTTTGACGTCGAAAGGCCAGTGGATAAGGACGCGGACTATTACGCCGTCGTGGATGTATGCCTCTCCACATATTGCGTGACGATTTTGCCGTGGCTCTCACCACAAGATTGGCGACACAACGTACAGTCTCCAAAGGTGCCGCGTGCGTTGGCGTCGAGCACAAGCTCGCCGCAGGCTCTGCTTGCGCCAACATTGGCATCACCTGGATCACCCACCCACGAGGACATTGATGCGATGATGTCTGATGTGGTGAACGGAGCTCTTGTGAAAAAGGCCATAAGAGCAGTCGTGGGGGAGTGCAAATTCTGCGTGACCATTGCAGATCCGAATGGCAACGACATCCCGCTGATAGCAGTTTCAGAGGCGTTTGAGTCCATGACGGGTTACAAGAGGAGTGAGATTATTGGCGTGAATTGCCGCTTCCTCAATCAGGGGTGCCCGATCTCTCCAATGGACTTGATGGGTCTCCGACTGGCGAGTGAGAGCGGTTCAACATTTACGGCATTGTTACCCAATCGGAAGAAGTCGGGGGAGATGTTCATTAATTTGCTCGATCTTCGCGGCTTGACCATAGCAAGACACCTTGAGACAGACGAGGAACTTTGGTACCTCATCGGCATACAAGCCGACGTCTTTGGCCTCACGGAAAGTGCCATCCCAGAGGACCATTTGGCAGAACTCCAGGAGCTTGCACGCATGATCCGCGGAAAGCTCAAGAAAGAATTATCTCAGTTGGTCGTCGACGGCGCTCTTGATCGGCAGTTGACTTCCTCAAGCTGTTCCTCGAGTCATCGGCTAGACTCTCCGAATCTCGCCTGGAAGCTGTTGAAGGAGCCAGTCTGGACTTCACCGCACTTCTGCCAACAGGTCATCGCGGATATGGTCAGGAGAGACAAAGTGCGAAGACGGCAGCGAGAGGACGACCGGCAACCGGTCTGGGGCATCAGACGTGGATTGGTGACGTTGGGACGTATGCACTTGTGCATGCTGGGGATGGGCGTCATCGCATTCTTCGGTGGTTTGATGTTTGGCAGAGGTCCGAGACGGCCGTGCTTCCCGGCCCTTGCTTACCCTCTCCCTCCTCTTCTGTTTGCCTCGTACCTTTTGTGACCCTTCTTGCTCCATCCCGGTCACTGTGCCCTTTTCCTGTGCTGTGGTGTTGCGTCTCCCTCCAGGAACTGTCTTCGCAGAGTGCTTTATGATGTATGTTTTCCGTTGTTGTCGCACCTGTAGTGCACCTGCGCGCAATTTTCTACGTCTGAGTTTTCGCAAAGCAGTTGTATGCACAGCGGGCAAGAGATGAATGCGGAAGGGGAGCATTTTAAGGAGTATCAGAGATGGGGGTCGGGAGCAGATGGGAAAGGTGGATGGCACGATGTCGACGCGCTGCCGTGCAAGTGGAAAGCACAGTGTATCCCGCAGGCGTTGCTTTGCGATGCTAGCTAGTATGTGCCAATGTTTGTGTGTCTGGTGGTGCGGGCGGCTAGTGCTTCTCGCAGGCCTTGGTTGCGAGGAGGGCTTCTTAAGCACCATGCAGGGCAACTTGCCTTTCAATAATGTCTTCTGAACCAGAGCGGAGGGCAGTATGCCCATCGTCGTACAGTGTTCCCCGAAGAAGTTTTTTGCCTGTGGGCGGGGTCTTGTTGGCCATTACTGTCTATGGAGAGTCTGGGAGAGGGTATGGTCGAGTAGCTACGATCACTAATGTATCAACTGCGGTTGTTCACCAAGTCGCCACGTACTGCTGCATAGTGCGTCTGAGCAGGCCCTCGGGGCTGCAGCTAAGATTTCGTGTTCATGCGAATGTCGCCGCGACGGCTGATGATCAAAGTGCGCCGATCCACCTC